ATGGGATGGGATGGGATGGAATGGGATGGATGGGATGAGGTGGGATGGGATGGGATGGAATGGGATGGAATGGAATGGAATGGAATGGAATGGGATGGAATGGAATGGAATGGAGTGGATAGGATACAGTAAGATGGAATGAGGTGGATGGGATGCAGTGGGATGGAATGGGGTGGGATAGCATTGGATGAGCTTCATGTGTCTAGGGTGGGTGAGAGGACCAACGTGATTTATGCGAGCAGTGGGATGCACCCAGCTACTCCATGGCTCCGTTGTGGGCAACCTTTGTGGTTTACATAGTGCCAGGAGCACCTCCACCCTGCATCATTGCTGCACCCAGCACCATTGCTGGGGACAAGCGGGCTGATGTCCATCTGTCATTTTCCATGCAGACATTGAATTCAATGTCACCGGCAATTATGGCAGCCCCATGCACGTGAACCACAATGCCAACTACAGCTCCATGCCCTCCCCGGACATGGACCATGCTGACCGCAAGCAGCACGACCAGGCGCGGCGGCCGCTCAGCGTGGCCACGGATAACATGATGCTGGAGTTTTACAAGAAGGATGGGTAGGGCCTGTTTGGGGCTGGGGACGGGGAGCTGGCATTGCTCCCCAGGGTTGGATTCGCTTGCAAGATGGGTGGTTCCAACGGGAGGACCCTGCAGCCCGTGCTGGGGATGCACTCTTCCCCCAGGGATGCTGAGATATGGGAGCACTTGGATAAGATCTAAGGATGCTTGGATGAGACCTGGGCTTGTCGCAGCCCCAAACCTGCTGGGGGTGGGAGCAGGCTGGCCCCTGTGTCACCTCCTGTGCCCTTCTTGTGCTATGGACCCAGTTCTGAAACGTGCACCGAGGCTTCCCCATCTTCATCATATGTTCCTCCTACCACGTCCTACCAGTGCCCACACTCCGAGCCCCATGTCTTCTTAGCTCCTTTTCCAAGCTCCCCATGTCTGGTTTTAGGTTATTTACCACTAATAACCATCTGTTTCTGTCCATGCAGCCTTAGGAAAATCCAAAGGTACGGTGTTCTCTACGACAGTTCCGGGCGGGTGCTGGGAGGATGCTGGTGCCCCGGTACCAACGCAAAGGGTGATATGGCTGGTGTCACCAGCCTGTCGTGCAAAGCCATCCCACCCTGTTTCCGTGGGGATTTATTCCCGGCAGCTTCTCAGTGGAAGAAACATTTGCAGGGGCTCAATGGGAGCTGCATTGGGCTGGGACACCGGCGGTGCCTTAGCGCGGTCCCGTCTTGCCGTGCGGATGCTGAGGCTCCATCTCTGTCCCCAGCATGGGTGTCAGAGTGATGGACACCTCGTGGGTGGCACGTAGAGGCACCTCAGGAGCACGCAAGACACCCGCCACCCCCCCGGCCACGCAGCCACCCGCACCGCCCGCCGAGCTGCCCGCCACGCCGCACTCACCCATCCCTGAGCAGGCTCCTGATGTGTCAGCCAGCCCCTCATCTCCTGCCTCCAGCTTTGGCTTCCCGCCCGCAGCCGAGCGGGCAAGGTATGGACCTGTGTCCCTATGTGTCTGCAGCACACTTGTCCCCGTGGTGTCCCTCCGGTGTCCCCCTTGGGACCAAGCTGAGCTGGGTTTCCCCACGGGGCTCTTGCACTCACAGTGTTGAGCTGTAAGCTGCTGGGCTTGCAGTGATCAGAGCAAAATCCTAAAGGAGCCTAGTGTTCCCTGAGCTCTTTCTTTACCCAAAATCCATGTCCTCCTGTGGTTCACGTAGGTCAAAATGGAAGAAAGCACCTATCTTGTTCCATCCTGCTCCAAAATGGGGAGCCTTCCTCTCCTGCCACCCTGCAGGACTGCTGTGTGGCATGGCAGAGTGCAGGCCAAGCACCCATGGGTTTTGTTAGGGACCCAAGAGCTGTGTTCTGGTACAGGGCAATGCTTGGAGCAGTCCCACCCTGGGTACCCCACAGCCTCTCCCTGTAGTGGGGATGCCCATCAGGTTGCCTCCGCTGTGCCGCTGCTGCCTCGCTTCAGTGCCTTTGTGCCAATCTGCTTCTGCGTTACTCTCATCCTTTGTAACATGCTGACCCATCCTGGTGCTGCTGCCTTCACCCCATCCCTCCTCCATCCCTGTGCTGGGCTGCTGGTGGCGCCTGCAGACCAGGGGGACATGCCAAAGGCTCCATCCCAGCGATGAAGCTCCCACTCCAAAGGGCTCTGCAGCCGTGGGGAAGGGGCTGTCCCCCAGGCTCCCCCTGTTTTGATGTTGTCCTCCCCTCTGAGCAGCCCCATGAGCCCTGCTGGGGCCGTTCCCGCTCCCCTAGTGTTGCTGCCTTGCTGCTGCTCTCAATTCCCCCTCCTGCTGATGCTTCTGCTCAAGTCTTTTTTTATTTTGTTGTTCTATCGTTTTGCTGTTCTGTGATCTTTTTGGACATTTTGCAGCACGCGTGGTGTGCCGCCCGCCTGGCCGGATTGCTGCTACAGCCTCCCCTGCCCTGAGGACAAGCGGGGGCCCCCGGCCCCTGGTCCCCATCCCTGTCCCCTGCCCTGGACACAACCTGCACTGCGCCTCTGGCCAGGTTGCAGCCAGAGCCTTCCTCCCTCCCGCTCCTCCTCTTCTTCCTCCTGCTCCCCCCGTCCACTCACCCCCCACCTTCGCCCCAAGCCTTGCTCCCTGCTGGTCCCCACACCACGCTCTCTTGCCCCATGGCACTGCCCGCTCCCCATCTCTGCCCCACTGCTCCTCCCCAGCCCCCGGCCCCACATGCTGCCCTCTCCCCCCGGGGGCGGCCGCATGCCTGCGGGAGCCAACCTGGCCAGGTAACTACCCCTGCCACCATGGCTGTCCCTTATCCCTGCTGTCTCCAGGGAGATGGCTGCTGGACATGAGTTGGCTTGGCTGCAGCATGGCCTTTGTGCTAAGAAATTGCTTTAAATTGCAATTAAAGCACAGCAGCTCAATGGGTGCCCTTGAGCATCGTGGCCCCATGGCACGCCGGCTGCGTGCTTTGCACAAGGATGCTGCCGGTGTTGGGCTTTGGGTGCAGGGCTTTGGGAGCAAAGCTTCTCACTGCCATCCCTTGTCCCCACAGCACACTAAAGCCCAAGGAGCCATCCCCCGTCTCCACAGCACAGAAGGGCGGTGGGCAGCAGCCCATGGCCACACCACCATCCCCCGCCGAGCAGAGCCCGCGCGCCCCACGCAAAGGTGGGTACCCGTCTGTGTGCCACCCCCCAGTCCCCTGACCGCTGTCCATCCGTCTCTCCATCCTCCTGTCTGTCTGTCTCTCCCGCAGCCTCCAAGAAGCTGGCGCCCATCCCACCCAAGGCGCCCTCCTCAGGGGGCACATCGGAGCCGCCGGCGGGCCAGCCGTCCCCCGGCAGCTTGTCCCCAACCCCGCCAGGCACCCCCGCGCCCTATGGACTCGCTTACCCTCAAGGCTACTGCCTGGCCTCAGGTCAGCTGTCCCCAGCCGCCGCACCTTCCCCGTCTCCTCCTCCTCCTCCTCTTCCTCCCCTGGGCAGCTCTGTAACCAAATCTCGACCCGTCCCCAAGCCGAGGCAGAGGCCCTCGCTGCCGCCGCCGCAGCCCCCCACGGCCAGCGCGTCCGGCTCTAGCCCCCAGCCCACGGAGGCCCCCCTGCTCGACGCCGTGGCCCCCGGGGAGAGCGTGCCCACAGGTAACCCAGCCGCCGCGGGACGCAGCCGGGCTGTGCCGGGAGCTCAGAGCGCTCTTGGGCACCGCCGCTGCCCAGGGACACCATGGGGACCCTGCGGCACTGCCCAGCCTGCAGGATGGCTGTTTGCGCCCTGGGGTTTGGTGACAGCGTGGCTGGGAAGATGGCAGCATCCGTGGGAAAGTGATGATGTGCCCAGGAAGGTGATGGTCACCTTGGAAAGGTGGCAGAGTCCTTGGGAAGGTGGCAATGTGTCGAGGAAGGTGATGGTCACCTTGGGAAAGGGACAGTCATCAAGAGTGGGGCAGTGATCTTGGGAAGGTGGCAAAGTCCCTGGCATGGTCACAAGGTTCTTGGGAAGTTGGAAATGTACTCAGAAAGGTGGTGGCATCCTTGGGAAGGTGTCAGGGTCCCTGGGAAGGTGACAGTGTGCGTAGAAAGGTGACAGCCGCCTTGGGAAGGTCACAAGGTCCTTGGGAAGGAAGCAACGTGCCCAGGAAGGTAACATTGACCTTGGGAAGGTCACAATGTGCACAAGAAAGTGACGGTGACCTTGGGAAGATGGCAGCATCCTTGGACAGTGTCGATGTCTTTGGAAGTTGGCAAGGCCCCTAGGAAGGTGACAGTATGCCCAGGAAGATGGCAATATACCCAGGAAGGTGACAGCAACTTTGGGAAGATGGCAGCATCCTTGGGAAGGTGACAGTGACATTGGGAAGGTGGCAGGGTCCCTGGGAAGGTGACACTGTGCTCAACAGTGCGCTCAGGGAGGCAGCAGTGAGCTTGGAAAAGTGGCAGTATCCTTCAGGAAGATGACAGTGTGTCCAGGATGGTGACTGTGACCTTGGGAAGGTGGTGAAGTTTCTGGGAAGGTCATAAGGTCCCTGTGAAGGTGGCAGTGAGCTCAGAGAGGTGGCAGTGTCCTGGGGAAGGTGGCACTGCACATGGGACAATGACAAGGTTGGTCCTCAAGAAGGTAGCATGGTCCCCTGGAAAGATGGCAGTGTGCCCAATAAGATGGCAATGTCCTTAGGAGGACAGCAGGGTTCCTGGTAAGATGACAGTGTCCTTGGGAAGGTGACAAGATCCCTGGGAAGGTTGCAGTGTGCTCAGGAAGGTGCCACTGCCCCAAGGTGGAGGAAGGTGGCAATGTGCTCAGGAAAGTGTGCCCAGGAAATTGTGCCCTGGAAGGTCCAGGCGTTGTCCTCAGGAAGGTGGTAATGTCTCTGGAAAGGTAACAGCATCTTTGGGAAGGTGGCATTGTCCTCAGGAAGGTTGTGACATCGCTGGGAAGGTGGCAGTGTTCCCAGACAAGAAGGCAGTGTCCTCACAAAAGGTGGCCGTGTCCCTGGGAACATGGCAGTGTTCCCAGAAAGATGCCAATGTCCCATAGGCAGGTGGCAATGCCTCCACTAAGGTGACAGTGTCCCCAGGAAGGTGGCAGTGTCTAGGAGGTTGGCAAGGTCCCCAGGACAGCTCTGATGCCACACCCACTGTGTGCCAACCTGGTGGCGCTGGGCTTTGTCCCCCCTGTGCTGTCTGTGCTGCAGAGCCAAGTGTGGGGGGCAGCACCGGGGTCAGCATGAGCGTCCCCATCTCCTAAGCAGTGCTGTCCCCAAGAGCCAGCCTCCATGTGCAGCTTCAGCATCACACAGTCATGCCTTGCCCATGGGGACGCTTTGGCAGTGGGGATGCTTTGGGGACACTGTCCTGGTCACCCAGCTGGCAGCTGGGCTGGCAGTGGTGCCCTCTGCGTGCAGCCCTGCCTGTGAGGGCAGACTGAACAGGGGAGCTGTGTGGAGACGGGTTGGGCTTGGTGAGCATCATACCCCAGCACTGGTGTGTCCCTGGTGTTGTCCCCATTGTGCCCAGCTGTGGGTGCACCCAGACATTGTGTCCAACCATCAGCACACTCACGCACGAGTGCTGCCCCAGCACTGCATCTCAGCACTGCACACAGGCAAGGGTGCATTCTGGCATGGTGCTCTAGCAGTTCACCCCATGGCAGTACATCCATGCATAGGTGCCATCTCAGCATTGCACCCTGGCTTTCCATCCACACGTCAGTGCCCCCAGGCACTGCACTGCATCCAGGCAGAGACCCCTGGGATGTAACCCTAGCATTACACCCCAGTGTTGCACCCAGGCACTGGTGCAATGCCGCACTGGTGCAGCCAGGCACTGCACACAAGCATTGCATCCAAGCACTGATGCAACCCCGGCATTGCACCCCAGCATTTTATTCTTGCATTGGTGCAGCCAGGCACTGGTGTAACCCCAGCATTGCACTCCAGCATTGCACCCAGTGCTTCCCCAGCACTGCATTCCCATATTGGCACACTCAGACATTGCATCCCAGCACTGCGTGCAGGCATTGCCTTGAAGCCAGCAGCTACTGGTGGAGCCAGGCAGGAGCAGCAGTTGTCCTTGGGGTGGCTCTGTCCAGGCTCAGCAAAGGCCAGCAACGTGCTGCCAGGTGTGGGGACACACAGGTGGGGACAAAAGCCCCACGCTTCCCCTCCGGCCACAGTGCTGAGCACGCAGCACCCATCACGGCACACAACGGTACCTGCCCCCCTCGCCGCGTTCGGCAGCCCCTCACGCCGCTGTCTGTGCCTGCCGCAGGTCTGCTGCACTTCGAGCTGCCGTCCATTCACCTGGGGGGCGCGGAGGCCACGCTGCGCCGGGACCCGCTGGACGCCGCGCAGAGAGTGCAGCTGAAGGGCCCTGCAGAGGAGGAGGAGGACTCGGAGAGCACGGCCCTATGACGGCGTCCCCTCCGCCCATCCTTGCGGCCCCCAGCCCCGCACCGGGTGCTGCCGCCCTGTAGTGGGATTCGGTTCGCCTTATCCAGACTTTGCCTTGTGACTCGGTGCCTATGTCCCCCCCCCCGGCACGTCCTCGTGGTGGCAGCGGGGCTGGAGAGGCACCGGAGCCCCATTCCCTTCTGACGTGGGGCAGCAGCCTGGGGTCTCGTCTCCCCGCTCCGTACCCCCGTGGCTGGGATATGAGGATGGCCCCATAGCAATAAGGCGGGTGTGGGGCACGGCCTCGTCCCCTCTTTGCTGTCGTCGTGGGTTGGTGGCGTGGAGCAGAGGCTTTGGTTGTGCATGCAAAGACAAAGTCACCTTTTATCCTTTTCAGAGAGATGACATATATATATATATCTGGTGGGCATAGATATATATATATTATATATTTGTATATATAGAAATATATATATATATATTTGTTTTATTTTGAGCCATTCCATCCGATCTTGGTGTACAAACGGACTATGTCCATGGGAACGCATCGTGGCCCCGCTCCGCCCCCCTGTGCTGCACTGCCCCGACCCCCCGGCCCCACTGCTTCTGCACCGCCGCGATCTGACCGTCACCCACAGCACGGGGACGGGTGTGGGGGGCAGGAGCAGCTGGAATAAACGTGCACATCGCTGTGGAACTCAGCCCCCAGCCTGCCTTCATTCAACGCCTCCCGCGGCTCTGCACGCGCTTGGGAAGGGGCCGCTCCACGAGGGGGGCTGTGCGGGTTTGGGGACAGAATGTGCCCCTCCAGCTTCAAATGCATCACCCACAGAGGGAAACTGAAGCAGCACAGGGGCTGCTCGGCTCACAGCCACCCCCAAACCTCAAAGCAGCCACACTGGAAGGTCCCAGAAAAGTCACTAGAAAGCACCAAGAAACCCCCAGCGCCGTCCCCCAGGTGGACGCGGCACACAGCGCGCTCCTTTCATGTCTTTAATAGAAATGGCTGCGGGAGAACCACGCACTGCATAGCCCTGAGTGTGCAAGCAGCCCCGCAGCCCAACCCTCAGCACCAGTAGCTTGTAGAAAACAAACAGCATCTCTGCATAGAACTCTCTGTATAGAATAAATACTCTCTCTCCCAACAGCCCCTCGGCCCTGCAGACCCCCTGCTTGCTCCCAGTAAGGCGTGGGCTGAAAGGCACAGGGCCAAGGGTGCAGACACTCAGCACAGCACAGCCGGGTGCGAAGGGATCCCTGAGTGGGATGCGCCCAGGGCTGGTACCCAGCTGCACGATGCTCATAGTGCAGGCACACCCTGATTTTGGGCACTCCATTGCATGATGATCCCAGCACAGGTGGTGATGGATACCCTGATGCAGGATGCTGCTGGCGCAGGGATGCCCTGCTTCCAGATAGCCCAGAGCTCAACGCTCCCATTGCTGGATGCTCCCAGCACTGTGCACCCAGCCCCAGGATGCTGATGATGCAGGAATGCCCTGACTGCATACGGCCCATGGCACGATACTCCCAGTGCTGGGTACCCAGGTGCAGGATGCTCCCGGCACAGGGATGCTTTGTTTGCAGGTACCCCCCTGCACAACGCTCTTGGTGCTGGATGCTCCTAGAGACATACATGCAGCTGTGCAATGCTCCAGGCTCTGGGTACCCAGTTGTGGGATGCCCACAGCATAGAGATGCCCCGACCCCACAGCACAATGCTTTAGGTGCCACCCACTGCCAGCTCAGCCCCACAACCATCAACTCCCTTCCTCAGAAGCTGGACTCAGGCACGACCCCGTGCCGCAGGGTTGCCATGCGCTCCCTGCCCCGTATCCCTGCAGTGCCCCCCGTGCCCCGGCCCAGCGATGCTGAGCGCCGCATGGGGTGAGGGGGCCGTGGGGGGAGGCAGGCTGAGCTCTGTGAGCGCCGGATGGGCCCGTCAGGGCTGTGGGGGTCGTGCTGTGCCCGAGGGGTGCCCTCCTGCCGCACCCGGGGGCGGCCTGTCTCCTGCTCGCCACTCCACGGGGGGCTTTTGGGGCACGAGATCCCAGTGGGGCCGGCGCTGTGGGCCCGGCGTGGTGTTGGGGTGCAGCGGGGGGGCTCTGTGCTCTGTGTGCTGCCTGCAGCATCGCCCAGCACGGCCTTCTGCTCCACACGGGGGCTGCCCCCGCCTACCGGCCCCATGGGGATGTATGGCAGCAGCTGCCCGGGGGCCGCCCGCGGGCGCGAGGCGAAGGACCACCGCAGGGGCACAGCCCTGGGGGGGGCCCTGCAGCGGGCGGGGGGTGGCAGCTTGACACTGAGGCTGCGGCTCTGCACCACCCGCACCGGCGGCCGGGCTTCGAAGCCACCTGCAAGGAGAGAGCATGAGGGAGGTGGGGGGTGGTTGCACCGGGGCTGCTACGGGGTTCAGGGCTGGAGGGGGGCGGGGCTCACCTTGCTCCTGTGTGGTGCTAAGGTCCGGGCTGCAGGGTGGGGATGGGCGGGGAGCTGCAGGCTGGGATCCTGCGCTGTGCTGCTTGGTGCCCCCTAGCCGGGCTGCCCAGTGGTTCAATGGGGCCGAGCTGCTGCTGCCTGTGGGGAATGGGAGCTGCACGGGGGGGGCACAGTGCCAGGGAGTGGGGCTGGGAGCTGCTGGGGGGTGCAGCAATGCAGGAGCTGCAGTGAGCAGTGTGCATATGCAGGCATGCAAGGGGTGTGCACAGAAGCATGCGGATGTGTGCGGAATCTGCACAATGCTGTGCATGCTGATGCACACCAGCATGTGTGTGCTTGGAGCCCTGCTATATGCAAATGTGTGCCTGCCTGCTGCACTGCCCATGGATGGCAACGCACAGGTGTCCAGGTGCACGCATGCACCTGCATGCAACTGTGCTGTGAGAGCACACACACACCTTGAGTGCACGAGTGTGCATCCAGCAGTGCTGCGTGCAGGCACATCGTGCTGTGTGTGCACTTGCATTTGGCTGTGCTCTGCACGCACAGTGTGCCTGCTCTGCAGGTGCTGCCAAGGTGGTGATGGAGGGGGTGACACTGCTCACCTCTGGCAGCACTGCTGGCCGACCAGGCAGGGATGGCATTGCGGCGCTGGTAGAAGAGGATGTAGGCGCTGCGGGTGCTCACCTCGTCCTCCCGCACCCCCTCCACCGTGCTGTCATCGTAGCTGTACCAGCGCCCGTCCAGGGAGTTGCAGCAGTACGCTGGGGCAGGGGTGAGGGAGGGGGAGCAGGGAGCAGGGCCCCTCGGGTCTCCCCTCCCCACAGCAGAGATGGAGCCCATCACGCTGCTCTGACACACTGCACACCCCTTGCAATGCCCCCGGCCCCATGCTCTTCCCCACTGCACCCCTCACACAACACATTTTTATCCCACTATTCCCCTGCTGCACCCTGTGACCCCACACCCCATGTCTTCACCATGCACCCCGGCTCCACATCCCTCCCCCATTGACTGCTGTCACGCAGCACAACCCTGGCCCCAAGCCATGCCCATGGCACTCTCCTTTCAGCGACCCCCACTCCCACACCTTATCTCACTGCACACCCCCACACGGCACCCCTAGCCCCACTCCCCATGGCTGTGCCATGCCCCCCGCCCCACAGCACCCCTCGCTCACCGGTGTAATGCCCGCCCTGCATGCTGCCATGGTGATTGCAGACGGCGTAAAGGTCATACAGAGCATCCGGGGGGCAGCTCCGAGTCGGGCGCAGGGAGTTCTGCCATCTTCCCCCCCCCGGGGCCAGGTGTGGGGCCATGTCCAACCCACGCAAGGGGAAGCGCACCAGCGTGCTCAGCTTGTGGCGGCGCTGGGCAACCTGGCGGAAGCGCTTCAGGTGGATGATGAGGATGTCGGGCAGCGTCCAGAGGCGGAGCTGCACTGTGCCCTGCTGCAGGACCCGGCAGTGCGGGCAGCGCCATGCGTCATCCGGTGCCAGCTGGAGGCACATACTGTGAGCATCCCAAAAGGAGAGTCTTGTCCCTCCCCCTCCTCCCCCTGCCCAGCACCGCAGGGTGTGAGGCTTTTTGGGTGCACCCACCTGCTCCTCCTTGGTGTAGAGCTGGAAGCACTCATCCAAAGTGCAGCTGTGCTGCTGGTGTGCCGCCTGCTGCAGCCGCACGCTGTCTGCGTCCTGCACCACCTCCTGCTGCACGCTGCCGAAAAGCCTGCAGGGTGGGAGGTGAGGGGAGGGTCAGGGATGGAGCACGGGGCTGTGGTCCCCCCCCCAGTGCTGCACTCACCGCTCCTTGATGTCGATGTCCCAGTCCACTGTCAGCGCGATGTGGGGGGGTCCGCCAGCGGGGCTCTGCTGCAGCGCCCTGAGCACCCCAAAGGGAAAGGGAGGTGTGGAGTGGGGCCTCCCCATCCCTGCAGGGCTGTGGGGTGGCCCCCCCTCACCTGTCAATGGCCGCGTGGCACAGCGGGTGTGGGTCCTGTGGGGACAGGTAGGCACTGGGCTCCCTGGCCACGTGGATGCGGAACAGCGGCACCGTGCCCTGCAGGACAACACGGTGAGGGGACATAAGGACCCTCAGGTCCCTCAGGGGGAGCGCCCTCACCCTGGGATGCTAGTGCCAGCAGGGCCGGAGCACTACCCCACACTTCAGTATTCCCATGTGACCTCAGTTCTGCTCTCGTACCCATGGTGGGGACACCCAGAGGGACAAGGATGGGGCTTCAGTGTGTGATTCACTGCGGGCTCCCGTCAGCCCTGTGGATACCTTGGTGGCGACGGCACCCAAGTGGCAGGGATGGGTGACACTGCAGCCACATCCAGTGACTATGGCCAACCAGGGCAACAGGGACGCCTCTCACAGGGACACCATGGCCACGGGTGGGGTCACCACGGCCCCCCGCAAGGACAACCCATGGGGACACCCACCTGCACGGCGCTCCTCATCATGCCGCGCAGCGGGGCCAGCACGTCGCGCTGCAGCTGTGCCCAAGAGGCACCGCGCTCCGCCCACAGCACCAGCGGTGATCCGAACCTGGGTGCATGGGGACGTGGTTGGGGGCATGGGGACACGCAGGGGGGCCGTGTGCGGGGCAGGGCAGGGCGGTACCTGGCGCGGTGCGGACCGGTGCCCGCCACGTGGCACAGCAGCAGCAGCACAGGGCGGGCGCCTGCGGGCAGAGGGTGAGCGCGGTGCGGCCATGCCCGTGGGAACCCCCTAGGGGGAGGGATGGGGACACCGGGGTGACACGGAGGGCGTGGGAAAATTCCCGCCAACGGCTCCGCCAATCGCAGCGCGAGGGGTGAGGTTCCCACCAATCACGGCAAGACAGACACCTGCCTCCCACCAATCGTGGCGTGAGGGACAAGGCTCCTACCAATCACAGCAGAGGAGGAGAAAGGTGCCACCAATTGCAGCAGAGCATGCATCTGCCTCCATCCAATCGCGACAAAACACACCTGCCTCCCACCAATCACAGCAGACGGGGCACAGCTCCCACCCGTCATTGGGGGGAGGGGGGCACAGATGCCACCAATCACAGCACAGCACACCTGCCTCCAACGAATCACAACAGCGGGGCTGGAGCCTCCCACCAATCCCAGCGGGGCAGACACCTGCCTCCCACCAACGGCATGGGGATAGGGCTCCCAGCAGTCACCAGTAGGACGCCTCCAATGCCACCAGCCCCACACAGTGCCCAGTACCTGCAGGGGCCTCTGGGGGAGCCTGCAGGGCATACAGGGGTGCCTCTTGCCCGGCTGTGCTCAGCTCCTCAGCGTCATCCAGTGAGCGCAGGAAGCCCTGCGGGGACACCTCGGCCAGGATCACCTGTGGCATGTGGCACATGGCTCTGGATGTGGCACAAGGCACACAGTGCAAATACATGGCACACAGCACATGGTGCAGTACACAGCGTGGCACATGGCACAGCACCTGGTGCACGGCATGGCACAGGGCACAGTACACAGCACATGACAGCGTGTGGCACAGCTCATGGCACATGGCGCAGCACATGGCGCATATGGCGCAGCACATGGTGGAGCAGATGGCACAGAACATGGCACGCAGCATGTGGCACAGCGTGGCACGAGGCAAGGCACAGCACAGCAGATGCACACGGTGCAGGTACACGACACGGCGCACAGCGTAGCACACAGTGCGGTACAAGGCACACAGCATGGCCCAGCATGGCACGTGGCATTGTACAAGGCCCAACAAGGCTTAGCACCAGGCACAGCACAGCACACAGGCTCTGAGTGCCTCCCCGTTACCTGCTGTGGGGGCACATCCCCCTCCCGTGCCACCATCTCACGCAGCTCTGCAGCCGTGCCCAGCAGCGGCACTGCCAGCCCCACGCGCAGCGAGCGCCCGCCCTCGCGCTGCAGCACCAGCGTCACATTCAGTGCCCTGGGGACATCATGGTGGGGATGTCATGTGTGCCCCAGGTGCGGTGGTGCCAGCATGCATCCCTCCTTGCTGGACACCGCCACCTCCTGCGCTCTGAGTTCTCCCCATATGGCACAAATGGCTCTTTTTGGAGCTGGATGCCCCAAGTGGTGCTGGCCGTCCCCTCGCCACGCACTCACCTGGTCTGGCGCACGGGGATGGGCAGCGAGATGCACAGGAATGGGTCGAAGGTATTGCTTTGCTTCCGGCAGTGCGGGCACGTCAGGGATGATCTGCACGCATGGGCAGGCCGATGGCACACCTCTGAGTACCCATGTGGGGCATGGGGACGCATCCCTGGGGGCTGGGTGGCCACAAGGCACAGCCACATCCCACAGCGCGCGCACGGCACGAGGCACAGCCAGCAGCTGCTCACTGTGAGCCCTGCTGCACAGCCATGCAGGGACGTGGCTCGGTACTGTGTCACCCACAGCAATGCTGGGTGCAGCTCAGCCCCCCTCCCAACACCGCAGGGCCGCATCCTGCCCACAGCTCACCTGTACTGTGCCTGGAAGTGGCTCTGTACAAAGCTCTCCCCACTGGCACCACTCTGCTCCACACTGCGCTGTGAGGACACAGACCAAACGGGGTGAACCCTACACCAGCATGGCCCTCATGATCCCCACCATCCTCAGGCACTGCTGTGGGCTCCAGTGCCTGAGGGCTCCCCACGGGCTGCATGGCATGGGGAATACACCCAGTCCCACTGTGTTCAGTCTACTGTCCTGTGAAATGGGCGCACTTGGGGCAAAGGTACCCAACACACACCAGCACTGGGATGGGGAATACCAGAAGATGCTGTCAGAGAATGACCAGCCTGTTTTGTGGGCAGGAGTTTTTCAGTGTTACAGTGAACAAGCCTGAAAATATTTGGAAGGGACAATGATTCTCCTGGTGCCATCTGCTGGCTCTGGGTCCCGCTGAGCCTGACACCTCCTCGCAGTCTGCTGGGGGCCAGGGCCCATCTGTTGTCTCAGAGGGGGGTCGGAGGAGGGAACTCAATGTGCTCGGTGCCTGTGCACCCTGCAAGACCCAAAGCTCCCCGCATCCCCCAAGGGCTCCTCCTCCTGGAGTGCCCCCAGCAGATCCAACCTGCAGCCCTCCGCACGCAGATCTGTCCTCCCAGGACACGGACTGGACGGAGAAGAGATTCTTTTTCATCTGCCCGGCTGGGTGGGGTGCCGTGGGGGCTGCCCCACCTCAGCAGGGAAGGACCGGGATGGCCTGCTCCCTCCCCCGGGGACACCCACCTGGTGGGCAGCGCGATGTCCCGGTGCGGGCGAGGCGCTGCCCAGGTCCTCGTGCATGCGGTCCAGCAGCCACAGCAGGAACTCGAGGGCGTCGTGCTGCGCGTTACCGCGGAACTGCGCGCCGTGTTTGGCCACGATGCTCTGCGGGGCGCAGCAAAGCAGCGGGACGGGGATGCTGCGACCGGGTATCGGAGCCGCATCTCCACCGAACGCACCGCCCTGTGCCTCAGTTTCCCCCTCCACGTAGCACAGATTCGCCCTCGGGATTAGCGAAAGATCCCCCAGCTCTCCCAACCCGGTACAACGCACGGCTCTCCCCGGGAGGATCCTGCACACGCGATGCCACCGCCGCCCGCCCCGCCGTGGAACTGCCCGAGGAGCGCTCCGACCCCACCCGGGTTAACTCGGAGCCCGGAGCGGCCGTACCTGGAACTCGGCGGAGAGCCGCGGGGTGTATTCCAGGCTCCAGAGGGCGCGGACCAGAGCCGCCAGGCGGTGCGTGACCTCGGCGCGGGCCCCGCGGGCTCGGTAGCGTCCGAGCGCCAGGAACTCGGCGAGCGGGGCGGTGTTGCTGAGGCACTGCACCACGGCGTTCATGAAGCACGTGTTGCCGTGGTTCCGCAGCCCCTGCGCGCCGGGCGGTCGCGCCCCGCTCCGCGCCGCC